AGCTGAAGTCAGTGGGCTATGCAGGTGCAAAGCCACTCTGAAAATCCGGCTTGGTATTGTGGTTGGGTTCCCTTTTATTCGTTATTTGATAATAAACACTATGAAAATACACTGAGACCCTGCTCCCATGGACACCAGTGGAGTTTTGCCACTGAGTGCTCTGCAGAAGTTCCAGAGGCTGCGTTTATTTGCCTTCAGGAGAACTTCAAGGCTGTGACTGCTAGCATTTCAGTGTGGGGAACAGAGAGAAGAACAGATGTCTGGATAAACCCTGCCCTTCAGGGCTCACTGAATGGCCCTAATACCTCCCCTGGGGACAGATCCCAGCTCACCGGGTTGGTCTTAACCTCCACCTACCTATTCCCCCTGCCCCTATGCTGATGGTATAGTAATCCATGTCATGCATTCATCACTTTTCAAGGAGTTCCTCACGTTGCTGGGGCACAAAGGCAGTTTAAATTGGACAGAGCCCGTGCAGCCAAGTATGTTCACAAAGTGTGGCATCCTGAGAGCACTCTGTGCTTCAGACTGCTCGCAGGACTGTACTGGGGTGATGGAGGTGCATCCAAATCCAGACCTGCTCAGCTGTAGTGCAGGCTCAACTAATGCTTTGAGGCTCCCAACTGCATGTTTTTTTGTAAGAGTGACTTCTTAGATAATCACACAGGAGTCTGTTTAATAAGCTGTAAGGCCCAGTATGCATTTGCTGTTCGCTGTGGTCCCATGTAAGCAGCATGATGCCTCTTTCACACCCTCTCTCATTTTCCCACCTTCTGCTTGCAGGTGAGAAGCCTCACAAGTGCCAGGTGTGTGGAAAAGCCTTTAGTCAGAGCTCCAACCTCATCACCCACAGCCGGAAGCACACAGGCTTCAAGCCCTTTGGCTGTGATCTGTGTGGCAAAGGCTTCCAACGAAAGGTGGATTTACGGAGGCACCGGGAGACACAGCATGGCCTGAAATGAGGTCTCAGCTGCAATATGGAAAGCCTACAACACTATGAGAACAGACTCCCTTGGCTTCCTTGCTGGACCCAAGCCATTTCTGAACACAAACCCTGGCATTACCTTTCTGAACAGAGCTCAAAGAGGAAAGAAGAGGACAGAGCCATGCATTGACAGCTCAACTTGGACTGAAAGTAGAAATTAAAGGCTGTTGTTTTTCTCTTTCTTTTCTCCTCTTTGTCTCTGAAATAACACTGGAAAATAAGCCTTTTAGATATGAAGCCTTGATATTCCAAAGATGGATAAGCTACCAAATGTCTGTAAGGTGGAAAATACTTCTCCTGTGACCCCCCCCAAGTTTTCAGCAGCTTGAATCACCTTGCAGGGAAACATGGGTATAACAGTGTTTACATGGTGCAATGACAGAGAGCCATCAGCACTTGCCTTGGTTAAGTTCAGTGCTGAATGGGTTCACTCTTGGATGATTTCCTTTCAGGAAAACCTGGAGGATCAGAACTGTGCAGTTGGACACCTTGCTGTTTTTTAAGCAAAGGTACCAGCTTGGGTCTGAGTCTGTTCTCACTTGTTCTGGTGCAAATCAGGAGCTGCATTATCAGTTATAGAAAGGCCCTTTTTATCCTCCCAGAACTATCTCTCTGTGCAAGGCCTGACTGCCTGAGTGTTTGAGGTATGGGGGCTTACTTCTTCCTACATCCACTGGGGAGAAGGAAGTTTGTG